GAGCACTCTGAAAGCCTCCTAAAAGTTATGCATGGCCATTTTTGCAAAGGGGGCGGGGTTTCAGGAGGCAAAAAATGCGGCATTCAATGTATAAGACGCACCAGGATTTTGAAGAGGCAAATTTAAAAAAAGTTTTTACACTCTGCAGACCTCTCCAAAACAGCCCATTTTTTGCATATTTTTGCCCTCCCCAGCTCTGAAGAGCACTCTGAAAGCCTCCTAAAAGTTATGCATGGCCATTTTTGCAAAGGGGGCGGGGTTTCAGGAGGCAAAAAATGCGGCATTCAATGTATAAGACGCACCAGGATTTTGAAGAGGCAAATTTAAAAAAAGTTTTTACACTCTGCAGACCTCTCCAAAACAGCCCATTTTTTGCATATTTTTGCCCTCCCCAGCTCTGAAGAGCACTCTAAAAGTCTCCTAAAGGCTATGCACTGCCATTTTTGCAAAGGGGGCGGGGCTTCAGGAGGCAAAAAATGCTGCATTCAGTGTATAAGATGCACCCAGATTTTCAGCTTCTTTTTTGAGGGAAAAAGGTTCATCTTATACTCCGAAAAATACAATATTTATCGCAAAGTGCCAACAGGGCAATTTAACCTGAATACTGAGGTTTTACTATCTAAAATAATGATAAACAAGGCAAAGTTCAACAAATTGTTCTAAGAAAAACGTGATAAATGCACTTTTATGTCCTCTCCCCCCATTTTTGCTTTGGAAATATTACATTTAGCAACAATAAGAAAGAAAAACTTTTGCAATATCATTTCTCTTTCCCTCCCTCTCTCTCTCTTTCCCTCCCTCTCTCTCTCTCTCCTACCCAAGCATTTCTTTGCCTATCTGATTTCCAGCTCCGTCGTGTTTCTCGCCTTCATTTGCAGGGAAACAAAAGTTTATGGGACTAAAAAAAAATGTTCACTGAATCAATTCCAACTTCTGGCAAAAGAAAAAGATCTTGCAAATTTGGAATTGATTGAGTTAACTTTTCTTTTTCGTCCCACAAAATTTCGTTTCCCTACAAATGATGGCAAGAAACGTAATGGAGAAATATGACGGAGCTGGGCTGGGGCGAAGGCACACGTGCCCACTGAGAGGGCTCTGAGTGCCACCTCTGGCACATGTGGTTCACCACCAGATGTATAGACAATTATTTGAATTTTTGAAAGGTTCTTAGGTTGCCCAAATGACTTCAGTGTTTGGATGCAATTACAAGTTAATGTACATAGATTCTAACACTTTCTGACAATGTAGAAAGGATGATCAGCCCCAAAATACAGAGTAAAGTGGGGTGGGGGTTGCTTTTTTTTTTCAAATTACTGTGCTCCTTTGGATCTGTTGTCTGAGATCTTTAGTAGTCATACCCATTCAAAGACTTGGCCTGGATGTTTTAGGGCTCCCCTGAGATTTTTCTCTCCATGGAGGCTTGAAGACACATCTGCAGGGCTGGCTCTTCATTTCATAGCTTCACAGATTGGTGGTAGAACCAGAATGTGCTTGAATATTTTGCACACAAATAAATACAAAATGTACACAAATCTGCTGCTGGAACTTTTGAAACTTATAAGGATTTAAAGAACTGCAAGGAGTGTCCTCTTTGGCATCCAATGATCTAGAGAGCATGTTGCAAGAAATGATCTTCTTTTATGTACCATGCAGTATTTAGAAATCCAAAGTTTGAGCACTTTTGTCCATCTTTTGTTTAGCATTACTTGCTTATAGTTTAGTGTTTAAAATGGTCTGTTTGCAGACAATTTATTATTATTTTTTACTTTATTTGATTTTATAACTTCACCTTCTTTTTTACGGTTTCACCTTGAAATTGTAACCCTCTGGAAAATGGCTGGACTATCAGTGTTATAAACAAGCCAACCAACAATTGTTCCATTCACACCACATATAGCTTGACTGTATGTTTTACAATAGCACACATTGTGGAGTAATCATGAGGACACTTGTAGATATGACATAGTCATCACTGAAGTTAGAGATCTTTGTGCTGAATGCAGCTCTGCCTAGTTTTTAGGTACTTACCAAGTATGATTATTGAAGCGTTTAAAGTCAAGGAAAAGAATGCAACCTCTGGTGATAATTGTTGTGGCCCACCAGTGGCCACGGAGCTGGAAGCAGATTTGGACAGTGAGGAGGTTGGTGAGGAACATGGGCCAGTCCTGGAATCTGGGGAAGACTCTGGTGAGTGCTCTGTGTTGGAGGCAGAGATGGGGCCAGGGCCATCTGACAGTTATCGGCTGCCTTTGGAGTCAGACATCAGTGAGGCAGATGAACACCTGGAGCCTGTTCCCTGTGTGAGCATGTGCAGAGTTGCCAGATGAACAGCTAAGGAATAAGGGTCAACTTGGGAGTAAAGCCACAGGTGGAAAGTGAATGGCCCCTCCATAGGGAATAAAAGAGGAGTGCAAGTGGAGGGGTGTTTGCAGGAGACAATTAGTTCATTCCTGCATTCTTGCCAAGTATTGCGGTGTCTGAAAGATATCAGCCTGGCCACTCTCCAAGCCTGCTAAAGGTTGGTAAGTGTGAACTATCTTGAAAGACTGTGGGCCGAGACTTTGCTGGAGACGAATTCACTGTAAATACAATAAAATGGATTTATCGGGATGAGGACTCAACTTTGTGCTGCTGGGGAAGCCTAGGTCAGAACAATAATTGAAAAGTATACAGATTTTACAATAGGCAAGAAAAGAAGAAAGTACAGTAATTAGATACTGCTGGGAACATATGTAATGGAGAATGACCTTGGGAGATGGGTGAAGAGATACTGCTAGGGAACGGTCAGATAAGAGGGGACATAGTACACAGCTATATAGTGGGAAAAGCAAGAGGCTCGGGGAGGGGGGTATCCTCCCTAAGTTATTGGGCTGTAAAAGAGATGGCAGGAGAATTGTACTTTGAAACATGCAAGACTGATGCCAGCTTTCCCAGATAGACCAGACAAGAAACATGACCAGATGAGCTAATTCTACTATATTGGAAAGCTACATTAACATAATCTCACCTGACGGTTCTCAGGCAGAATCTCTGTCTTCCAAAGTCATTTCCACATACAGTTACAATATCAGTCTTCCAGGCATCCTTCAGATGAAACTGCAGCTCCTATTATTTCCATCCAACTTTCCTGCAGTTTCAAGAGACTTGCAGGTTGCCCGATGGGAAAGGTTTATGCATTCTTAAACAGAGAGCAAAGAAACAGCTTGATTACAAAACATTCACTGAGAAAGACCAGCCAAGATGTAATATAAAATACAACTTTGGATAAGAGCTGTGGAATAGAAACTGGTTCTCACCATTATGCAGGTAGCTCTGCCACAACCTGCACCATTTCATCATGGCACACAGTAACTGAAAATGGCACTACTGAAGCCAGAGGGCAGTGGAGGGGGAAAACAGGTTTGGCATGTGAAGTTTGGCTGCCAAATCTTCAGTGAACAATTAACAGAAAACAGCAATCAAGATAAAGAGGATGGCAAAAATGCCTGCAATATGAAAATGCATGATAAAAGAGTTGCTCAATGCATCAGACAATGTTTCTGAAATATAAAAGGATACATGTCAGCAAATACATTATGTTCAAATCAATTGTCAAGCTTCTGCTAATGGTTACCATGTTTCTATACCTATAGTTTTTGTGTAATAAAATCAGTCTTTGCCAATGCTATTCACTTTTCCTATAAATATACATGTGTACAAGAGGAACTTAAATCTATCCACTTTCACCATGCACTGTGTGCTCAATGGAGCACGAAGGATTTGGAGTTTAGGACATATATTCAGGACCCAAGACCAGAGGTGGTATTCAGCCAGTTCTGACCAGTAGCAGAAATTTTGACTAGTTTGGAGAACTGGCACATACCACCTCTGGCTGGCTCTTCCCCTATCTATTCGCTGCCTCGTGTCTCAGCTGATCAGCGTTCTAGCTGATCGGCTGGGTCTTCTTCTCTTGCCCTACACAGGAGAATGGAGCTGGAAAGCAGGTTAGTGGGGTGGGGAGGGAATGGAGATTTTTACAGTACCCCTTCGCTCAGGAGTAGGGAGGGAATGGGGATGTTGCAGTATCATTCCCCTGCCATGCCCACCAAGCCACGCCCACCAAGCCATGCCATGCCCACAGAGCTGGTAGTAAAAAAAAAATTGAATCCCACCACTGCCCATGGCCAATAAGAATGGCAGATGATCAGGACAGTAACAAACAGACCCATTGTTCTGGACTGATATAGAAATACCATAGCATATGCATACCTTCTCCTCCTCCTCCTCTTCCCCATCCTTTTCCTCTTCTTCCTCTCCCCCATCGCCGCCAGTTGATAAAAGGAACAGCTTGTGGAGCATGTGCATAATTATTGATGCTTGTTTTATAATTTTAATTAAAGATTAGAATAAACATTAATATTAAGCATCCTACATAGTGTAAATATTGTCTTTTATAATAAATGATTATCAGTATTATGAATTATAAATATAGTAAATAAAAATAGTTACTACCATTGTAATAATGAGAATGCTCTGTTCTTAAATAATATTCTTATTTAAGAATAACATAGGGTGAGGAGAGAAGTTTGATCCTCTGCCACCCCATTTTCATCTTTCCATGGAAGGGAGGTTGGGGTGCAGCCAGTGACATGAATGGAGATGAGAGAGTCAAATCTCCTCAGAATTTGGGGAGACCAATCAACTTCTTTGTTGGTGACTGACATTTTCCCCCTTTAAAAGGGCAGTGTGAGGATGCACTTTCCTCCATTTTAATGTAAATAATGATGACATTTCATGGTCACCTCATTGCAGGGGTGAAATTCAGCAGGTTCTGACAAGTTCTGGAGAACCGGTAGCAGAAAGTTTGAGTAGTTCAGAGAACCAGCAAATACCACCTCTGGCTGGCCCCAGAGTGGGGTGGGAATGGGGATTTTGCAATATCCTTCCCCAAGAGTGGGGTGGGAATGGGGATTTTGCAATATCCTTCCCCAAGAGTGGGGAGGGTATG